GAGAGAGAGAGAGAGGGAGAGCGTCACTGCTTATAAAGAATCTGAATTTTACAGATTCATAAGAACCAAATTCTTCTTGGCTGTTGCAAATTCAATGGCATTATCTTGAAATTGGTAGATAGTGTCAGTATCGACCAATTCATGCCCTTTTACTCTTTCTATTACAGGTATGGTGAAAATTTGCTCGAGGCCATTAAGAAACCTGACTGGATTTGCCCTGTCTGTCGAGGGATTTGCAACTGTAGCGTATGCCGACTAAAGAAAGGATGGCCTCCAACTGGTGCTCTCTATAGGAAGGTAAACTTTCAATATTACTTTCCAACTATATAGTAAATGTTCAAATTTAATCTTCATATTATTACACTGAGAATGATACTAGATCTCATGTGGTTTTGTCTTTGATTGTAGAGTGACCTTTAAAAGTGGTTCAAATTTCCATGTTTCTTATGGAATTGAATGACGTTTTTTCCAGATTAAGAGTCTTGGATTCACATCAGTTGCACAGTATCTCATCAAAACTAGGAGATCTATTAATGACTCAGAAAACCCAGTTCCAGAAGATAAAAAGGAAGAGGATTTGTCACCTTCTAACAAAGTATATGAGGAAGAGGATTTACCTCCTCAGCCAAGCGCAAGGAGGTCTCTCTCATTATCAGATACCCACCATGCATCACTGGAGAAAAATACATCCATTACAAACTCAGAATTTGATCTTGGACAAGAGGGGGAAGTGCTTATATCTGAAAATAACCCACGGATCGACTCAAATGTGAACACTAGTAATGGAGAAGAGGGGGAATTGCTGATATCTGATTTATTTAAGAACAAGAAAGCTGACCAAGAGAGCATTGCTAGACTGAGAACGAGGTTTAATCTGGCCTAATTGATCCCGTTCTGTGACTGGGCCTACACTTTCATGTAATGGGGGTGATTTTGAAACTTTGACCTTTTGCAAACTTGGTATCACCGAAGGCATGGAGCTGGACTAGGTGCAAATTTTGACTATGGAAATCCTAGTGTTTTGGTTTTGAAAACTGATCTAAAGAAGGATGAAGAGACTCATCCCATGAGATGAAAGTGGAAGAGCAGCATTCATATGATCAGTTCGCAACTGTACAATTCTGAAAAACTTTCTTCACTTGTACATATTTTTGTCTGACTGTCTCATCTTAGAATTAGATGAGATGTGCTGATTATATCCTAATTTCCATCATATTTTGTTTTAAATTTTGTTTTCCCTTTTCTCCAGTTCATCTCATTGGTGTGCATCCCTTTGTGTGTGTGTAGAGAGAGAGAGAGAGAGAGAGAGAGAGAGAGAGAGAGAGAGAGAGTATACTAGTAACTAAAATAAACGTACTAACGTTACCGTACCCCGTAACGTTAACGTAGTAGACGTAGTAGTACTACCTACTACGTAACGTTCGTTCGGTCGTACCCTACGTA